GCCCTCTTGGTTTCAGGCTTAAATTCAAGCAACAGCACCCAAAGCCCAGAGAAGCAGTCTGAGTCCAGAGTCCTTCTGGAGTTTTATTATTTTTTTCCTAAACGTTTGACGTGGTTTAGTTTGCCAGCCTTTGTTTAAGTGATTCCCTTTTATCGAGTCTTTGATGAAATATTCAACGTGACTCGTCCTGGAAGCTGCTCGCCGCACAGAATAATTTGTGGAATAATTAAATCCATAAAAATGTCCGTAGCCAAGCCCACCAGCTCCATCTAGTAGGAGCAGAAGCCCGGAGGAGGAGGAGAAAGCAGCCTTCTGGCCACAGGTGTGGGCATCCACGCACCCAGCAGAGCGTGAGCCCGGGTAACCCAGCGCCCCTTCCTCACACGCAGCCGGAAGCCTCCGCCCTCTGCCTTTGTTCAGAAGCACCGGCCACACACAGTGAAGCAAAGCAGCGCCTGGGTACCGCGTCAGGCACCGGGTAGGAGCCCACAGACGTGCAGGGTGAGAGGGTGGATGATGCACAGGCGAAACCACTGGGGGCGTCTGGTTTGTGTGTCTCCATAACCCCTTTCTGGTGCTTCATATTCAAAATAGCATCAATCCAGGGGAGAGGAAAGGGTCTTCCTTACCACATGGTCAACAAATTATGAAACGTTATGGAATTTTAGGAGAGGGTAGGTGACTGCCCTCTCTGTTCCGTGTAAGAAAATTTCGCCTGGTAAGGAAGGTGAGATTTCAGACACGTTCACTCGGCCGCATCACCCACCACACACCTAAATACTGTTTCAGTGAACAGTTTTACTAGTGTTTACTTTCTTAGCGCTGAATCCGAAGGTCAGTCTGCAGAAGGGTGATGTTTCTCAGCTTTGTAAATCGGTTGCCTTGTAAGGTTCTTCTGTAAACGATGAAAAACCAAGGGTGAAGTTCGCGGCTGGGTGATGGGACCTCGGTCTATCCTGAGCGTCATTTGCAAAGGGACCAATCGATCGCGCCGACCCACGCTGGGGGCCCGATGGTACATATTTCGGCTTTGTGGCCCATCAGGTGTCCGGGGCGGCCCCTCTGTGTCGTCTCTGCATGAAGGAACCATAGACAAAACGAAAAGGAACTGGTGTGGCTGTGTTCAATCGAACTGTATTCCCGGACACCACAATCTGAATTCCATACAATTTTGGTTTTTGTTTCTCCAGCTACTGAAAAATAGTCTTTGTTCATGAGCAGAGACAGGTGGCGGGCTGGCCTTGGCTCTGCTTTGCGCTTTAGCGCTGCCACTTGGTGCTTTCCAGGTATGGTTTTCGGGTTTGTTGGGGCAAGGATGGGCTGGCAGATGCCGGATGTAAAGGATGCTTAGGCTGCTGGAGCCATACGTGTCCAGTTTCCCCAAAGCCACCCCGGAATCACTTCTCCTCCAGCCCTGAGGAGCTGTGCTGGGCGTACGCGAGGGCAGGGCCGGCGGGCACCTGCTGAGGCTCCGGAAACGAAGCCCGAAGGTTTGGGTGTCCGGGGAGGCTCAGCCCCGCAGCCTGGACACCTCCTGTCTTGTGGGGCTAACGCAGGCCGACCCGAGGTCCAGGCGGATGACGGTTCACAGAGCGTTTCTGAATCCGTCCCTTTCATGGCAGCTCTGGAGGCGGGAGAATTCCTTCCCCCGTTTTGCAGATGGGGTGTGTTGGTTTGCTAGGCGGCCATAACAGGCCCGCAGGTTGGGTTCTTAAACAACAGAAATTTATTGTCTCCCAGTTCTGAAGGCTGGACATCTAAGATCAGGTATCCGCAGGATTGGTTCCTTCTGAGACTGTGAGAGAGAAGCTGTTCCAGTCCCCTCCCCTGCTTCTGTGCTCTGCTGGCCTCCCTTGGCGTTCTGTAACTCTTAGAAGCGTCACCCTGACTCCATCCTTCATCTTCCTGTGTGTGCACCTGCCTCCAGGTTTCCCCCTTGTAGCGACACCACTGATACTGGACTTGGATTCACCCTATGACCTCATCCTAACTTGATTACCTCTGTAAAGACCTGATCTCCAAACAAGGTCACGTTCTGGGAAACTGGGGCCTCAGCATATGAATGGGAGGGAGGACAGGTCCATCTGTCACACAGGGGAAGTGCTGTAAAGAATAGCTGAGTGTCTTTGGGGGGCCGTCCTGCGATGAGAATTGAGTGCAAGGTTGTCATCTCTGTCTGTGAATGAATAGAGTTGCCTGCCTGGGTTCATGGGCCTCTTATTGGCCAAGATTGTGGGCTATTGACAGAATAGCCGCTAAGTGATGCATAAAGGTGGCACGCGTGCTGTTGCCACTGGACTCTACTCGTGTCTCCACTGCAGTCTCGTTTGGAGGCTCTGGAAGACAACAGAATTTTCCCAGCACTGCTCTTTGACAGCTCTGTAGCTCTTGGAGATTTCCCCCAAACTTTGGCTAAGAAAAACGTGGATGTGTGTGGACATTTAATAGAAAATTCAGGGAATTAGGCATCTTTTAGGCTCCAGGGCTTTGTGCTAGCTTGATCCACACACACTAAGTCATACGTCTTCTTTTGGGGCCATCAGAACGGATGGGCCCACTGGTTCACAGTGACCCCTTCCCTTGGTTGAAAGACTACGCCCCTCTCCTCTTAGGAAAGTTGGTCTTTGTGCAGAAACCCAGGGCTTCCAGAAAGGTAGAGCATGGACCTGGTCCTGTCCACCTACCCCCCACCCCGACCCTGGACCTTACGGGCACGGCCATTCACAGCCTGAGCTGTGAACGCAGGTCCACGTGTGCATCTGTCCCCGCCCACAGCCCATCACAGCAGCGATGTCGGCCTGTAAGGGCTGTGCATTTCCCGGTCACCCCTGTCCAGGGAACCCCCCAGGGATCCGTGGGAGGGAAAGCCGCTCAGCTTCAGGGCTGGGGGCTGGAAGCAAAGCTCCCCACCTACAGAGCCCGCTGGAGTAAGCAACAGAAAATCCCAGTGGCCTCCAAGGCCCTTTCCTAAAATGCTGAGTGACCTGGCACCTAAGGACACGGTGAAGAAGGGTGTCATGAGTGGACTGTGAGAAGGAACACACTCCTCTCTTCTTAAAGGCTCAGCGGGTGAGCAGTCTGCTGTTCCTCATCACGAACCATTCTTCTGCGTCTGGGAGGTGGGCTTCAGGGTGGGAGATAATGCAGATGCAGGCGGCCGGGGCTGCTGGCCACATGGAGATGCTCTCTCCGGGGAGACTCCACGGCCTCGCCAGCCCCTGACCCCTTCTCACCCTCCTTGAAGGATCTGCAGAGGGATCCGTGCGGAGGTAAGAGGCTCAACAGTGTTGGCACCTGGTCGGAATGTAGGTTAGCAAGTCCCACTCTCCGGGGCTGGGGTCTACAAAGGAAAGGAGACACCCAAGGTCTTAGCTAGGCTGGGATAGTGGCTTAACTTTTTTTTTAATTAAAAAAATGCATATTCTACTCAGCATAGAACGCTTTGGAAAGTTTAGAGAAGCCCAAAGCAGCAGGAAAACACCGTAGACCCAGTTCTGAGAGGCCACCTCTGCAGTGTTTCAGGCCTTCTCAGAACCTTCCCCCCTTAATACGATGAGGTTCTCACTTGTTCTGTCTTGACAGAACCTCTGGGGGACCGCAAGCCCTCCGATGAACACCCCGAGTTCCTGGGACCCACGAGCAGCAGTGTGGATGCACCCAAAATCCACGTGCTGGGTGGACGGACAGCGGCCTCCGCTTCCCGGGGCCTGAACATCCCCTCAGTGCCCCGCCGTGTCTCATCTTCTCAGGATCTGAATCTTTCCTGTCACATTCGAATCTATTTCCCCAGATTGTTGCCTTTTTCGCAGCATTTATTGGTTTCAGGAGAGTTTCCCTTCTGCCTCTGTGGCTTCATACGCTGCTGGGACGCTTAGATCTGCCTCTCCCTCGGGAGCAGCTGTCCGCACACTGGGTTTTCTCTCTCCTGCCGGTCGACTTCCTTCCGGGGCTCCTCTCCCTCCCTCGGCCCGCCTCTGTGCGTCTGGACTTCATCGCACTGTGGGTGCGATGAGTCCCCGGGGAACGGCGTCCCGAAGCCCCGCTGGCTGTCCCAGCGTCTCGGGGAGCAGCTCTTCCCTCTTGGGCCATGTGAGCTGTTCAGGGGGATGAGGGTCTGTTCCCGGCTGTCTGTTCCGGGAGGTGATGTTGATTTAGGCAAAGTGTCCGGGATGAAATTTCCACCCCCATTTCACCACGCGACGAGGTGCAGGGCTCCCGTAAAGCCGCGGGCAGCTCCGGTCCTCCCGTCCAGAAGGTCAGCCTGGCGCGGATGCTGACAGGGCCGTCGCGCGGCCATGGTATCTTCAGTCTCTGGCCATCACCATCCTTGTTTAAGGGCTCTGTCAGACGCCTTAGTAACCGCCTCTCGAGTGGCCGGGGACTGGGGAGGCCAGGCGTCTGGAATGCGTCTTTGGGGTTTAGCTGATGAGGTTATTCTATTCTGATGAGCTCTCACTGCCAGTCTTTGCAGCCAAGTACCCGCAGGTGAGGGAAGATGACACAGCACTGGGGGGGAAGCAAATAAGGCCTTTGTGCCCGGCGGGGCTTCCAGAAACCAGCTCTGACGCGGGTTGCCGTGCAGGTTTACGGGGGCGCACTCGTGGGTCAGCCCCCCTTGGAAGGGCCGGGTGGGCAGAGGGAAGCCCTCGGAGACCTCACAGGCATCGGCCCTGGGCCAGCCCTTCCCACTTCTCGGGGCGGGGAGGGACTTCCTTTTACCCCTGCTGGCTGCCCAGGGCGCGGCCGTGACCTGGGGGAGGGCCTCTTTCCAGGAGGCAGTTGTAGGAAGGGCCTTTCTGCTGGCCGCGCTGGGACGGGGAGGGGTCTATGGGGCCTGGGGGCCACATTGTAGCTTCCACCGCGTCCTTATCTTCTAGATAAATGCAGTTTGGAACATACTTTGCTCCGAGGTGGAAGAGCTGTCTGGGGAAAGACGGAAATGAGTTCTCCAGCTGCACAGGACTCTGAATCTTAGTCCCATTTCCCCTTCTGTCTTGCAGCACCCCCCTTCTCCGGACAGAAGGCCGGGTCCTGGGACTTGTCCTCTGACATCGGGGAGCTGGGGGCCTGTTGCAGGTAAGAAACGCAGACGGGGCAACTGAATGAGTAGCTGGACCAAGGCCTGCTGAGCAGAGGGGCTGTGTCATGACTGAGGGGACCAGCCTGTGTCCGGTGACGGCCCCATGTGCTCTGCAGGTCCACTCAGGAGGGAGGGAGAAGTCACTTCTCGTGACCCTCCTTGGCCTCTCTCAGCACCACACTATCTCCCTCCCGGCCCTGTCTTCACATCCTCATCAGCTCCCAGTGTCCCCACACGTGAAGGGCAGATGTCACTGGTGTGCCTGGCACCGGTGAGTTCCCAGAACAGTCCCTCATTTCCATTTACCTGTGTGACTTCCCTCTTTGTGGCCACCGGTGGAATGTTCTTGCTCTCCCCAGAAACCAGCTGGGCAGCTTGTCTGTCCTCCGCCTTGACAGCTGTGGGACGGAGCCCAGGTTGGCTGTCCTGTGGTGTCTGCACAAAGGAGTTATTATTAAAACGAAAGAGGTTTTGAGTTTCCCAAACAATGGCCTCTGGTGTGAGATGCCCTGCCCTTGGAGAGTCCCTCCGGTAGGGGTGTGTCCTTGGAAGGCACACAGTGGCAGAAGGTGTCCAGAGGAAGCGTTAGCCAGTGTCCAGGAAGAGCTGGAGGCATTCAGCCTCCCCTGCAGAAGGGAGAGCGAGTGGTGGCCTGGCAGAATGTTCTAGGATGTTTTCAGGACCTTTTCTTATTTCCAGCCAATGGAGGTAATTGATTGAGTGACTGATTGATTGATTTAATGGAGGTACTGGGGTTAAACCCAAGACCTCATGGATGCTAAGCACTCACTCTGTCACTGGGGCTGTGCCCATCCCCAGTTTGGGTTGTCCTTAAAATCATGCACATCTCCTCAGGGGGGAAGATGATTCGGATTTTGTTACAGCCTTCTCCACTCTCCACCTTTCCTATCACGTCTCTTGATCTCCTGGTATCAGCACAAACTTTTGGACAGAAAGAATGCTTTGGGATGTCTGCCTGGGACAACCTGGGCGCTTTTAATCGTGCTGTGAGGAATTTAGGAGTGTTCTGGTCTCAGGGTCAGTCCTCACCCCGCTGAGGCCTTAGAGGCTTAAAATGCCTCTGCCCTGGAAGCGGCCGCCAGCAGCCCTGGCCCTGCAGGCTGCGGTCTGTCTGGGTTGCGGTGAACCCAGGGGAAGGCAGGCAGATTCCTAGCATTCTTTCGGACTGGCATGGGCCGGAATGCTGGGGTTTCTGAAATCAAACAGCAAGTGTGCAGCTTGGTCCTCCTCTGAGGATAAACCCAGCAGACACCAGTGGTGGTGTGACATGGCTCCCCATCTGACCCCTACCTGACCCCACCTTTGGGTTTGAATTTGGGTTCAGCTTGGCCAGTTCAGGCCCCCTCCTGAGCAAGGCAGGAGGTCAGTGGGGGGTGGGGCTGCCTGGGACCCCACTCCAGCTCCAGCAGGTCCCCGGGTGTCATTTATGTGGTTTGCTTTTTCTGGCACTGTGCCAGCATTCCCGGGGCAGCAGGACCTCTGGGCAAAGGAAGCTGGAGGGTTGGGATGGGGCCTCCCATCTCGGGATGAGCCAGAACAGTGCCCGCAGTCCCCACCTTGTCCTTAAGGGCTCCTGGGAGCCTGGAGAGGGAGGTGCTCCTTTGCTGACATGCCTTTGGGGGACGTTTAGGGGCGGGGACCTGCGTCTCTCAGCATTTAAAGAGACCAGCCCCGGCCTGTGGCCAAGATGGGAACTTGACACATTTGGCCGATTTTTGTGGGTTTTTTTCCTCCAGAAACATGAATGCGTCATTTTCCCTCTGCTTCTTAACGTTCAAGATACGATTTGTCTCAAGTTCACTGTGAAGCAGAGCTTGTGCGGGCTTCCGTTCCTGTGCCTTTTGCGGGCCCCTGTGTTGTGTCTGCACGTGATCCCATCAGCGCGGGGCCAGTTCTTAACCTGTTCCTGAGCCGGCCGTTCTCACCGCCAGAAATTCATTAAAGTGCCCAGGGGTGTTGCTGGTGGGCCAAGGGAGGGAGCGGAAATGATGCCCAGCGCTAGTTCTCTGTAAGGCCAGTGTGAACCACCAGAGTGACCGGCAAGTGGCAGAACTTGGCCCGGCAGCTCCCTGGGGAGCATGCCAACCGAGGACGGAGCTCGGCGGGGAAGCCCAGGGCCCCGAGGCCGAGGCTGGTTCCCACGGGCTGCCGACGGCCCTGGAGGCTGGCGTGAGCTCCAGCCTCGGGTCCCCACGCCCTGCGTGTTGTACCTCTCAGCCTGGGGACACTCCATACGTCCTGCCCATGTTACAGGCGAGAAATGGGGCTCAGAGTACCTCGTTCAGGTTCAAGTTCAGAGGGTTATTAATAAGCGTGTGTGCATGTTTCCTTGCTGCCTCCCCTTACCTGGCGCCTGGGAGGGCACATGAGCTACATGGGCAGGTATCCCCAAGTCCAGCTCCGGCCAGTAGAAGTCAGTTTTGAGCCACAAACATAAGCCATGAAGATAATTTTTTAGAGTAAAACTCAAGAAGTGAGATTAAATCTTTTTCTCTTAGAACTATAGATTTACTTAAAACAAGGGCACTGTTAAGGAATGAGCTGAATGCTCTTCAGGGATGGGGCCATCCAGCGGCCCGGCCTCGTCCACTCTGCACTCTGGAACAGGGACGGACTCTGGCCGGGCGCCCTCGGCCTAGACCACGTGGATAATCACAGACAAATTCTTGCTTTTCAAGGGCTACTTTTTAGGCTGAGGATCTCCATAGTTTCCCATTGTGCAGGTTTTTTGGCTTTGTTTCTGGTTGAGCATTCAGTTAACCGTTTTAAGTGTGCAGGTTGATTGGCATTAGTGCCTTCAGTGTGATGTGACCCCCACCTCTCTCTGGTCTCAAAACTTCTTCATCACCCCAGGAAAACACCCCCTCCCCACTAAGTAACTGCTCCCATCACCCCCTGCCCCCATGCCCTGGCAACCAACCACTAATTGGTTTACTTTGGAGGTTTGAACTGGGTGCCAGCTGTATGTAGGGGAGATCCTGGCTTCCTTGTGTCCCCGGGACAGAGCAGTGAAGGCCAGCGTCCTTAAAGCCAGCATGACACCCAGGCCTGCTTGGACTTGGTCGCTAGCCAGATGGCGTAGAAGCACCGAGCTGCACCTGCCCGGGCCTGCCCGGCCCGCTGGAGATCAAGTCTGACATCATAGTGGTCAGCAGGTGTTTTACCAGCAGGGAGGGGGACCCGGCCTCGCGTCACCTGAGTGTGAGGCAGCGCTCAGCCTCCTTCAGCACCTCCGCATTGCTGTGCCTCGATAAATAAAGGCTGCAGCTGACTGTGAGTGAGGTCATGTGGCACCAGCAGGAAGCCTGGGGAATGCGGGCAGATGAGAAACCTGACCCGCACTTCGGCAAGGCGTTCAACTGAAAAAGGCACCTGCATTCTTAAAAGCCTTGTGGTTTAGTCTCTCAGTCTCATCACCCTTCTCAAAGCAGGCACGTCATGAGGACAGATGAGACGTTTTTGACATACTCAAGGCCCAGGAGATAAAAGATGTGAGTCAGAAAGATTCCACCGTTGTTTATTTCAGGAGCCTTCCCGTCTCTTGCTGCAACCTGCTTAGACTACAGGGAACTTCCCAGTCTGATCAGAAACCCTCGCTTCTCTGCCTCTGGCCTGAGTTTTGTCCTTTTAGTGTTAGTGTTAGTTCCTTATTTATAGTTGGCTGGGCCGGCTGCAATTTAGGAAGGACAGAGTGTGTTTCATTCTTGGGTCAGAAAAATGCACAGAGAGCGTATAGTCTTGATCTTTTCTAAGCACAGGCAGATTCCGATTATGGGCACATAAGCATTATGCATCAGTTTCCTCAGACTTTGGTTTCCTCATCTGTGAAAATGGAGCCAGTCTCAAAAGATTCTCAAAGATCAAAAGGAATCAAATACGCACCCTAACTGGCTCAAGAGAAAAAACTGGGAGGATTATTGGAAAGATCCAGAGGGGAGCCCAGCGGATCGTAGGGGACCCGGGAACCAGACTGTGAGGAATGAAGCTGCTCTTAGGGTGGAATTGCACGTCCCCCCGCCTGTGCTTCTCGCTGACACCTGGCCTTCGCGGCTCAGCCAGGGCCCAGCAGCCCTGCGCCGGACCTGCCCCAGGCCACTTGCTCCTTTCCCAGCGCCCTGCTCTTAGAAGAAGGTTGGGCCGCTAGCTTTTTTGAGCCAGTGCTCAGTTGCTGCAGACAGCGGATTGGCTCACTGGTATGTGGTATCCATCTCTGATCCATCAGAGGGAGGGGACAGGGCCCCGGGGTATCCAGGCTGGGGGCGAGCCTGGGCCAGGCAGTGATACTCCCAGGAAAGTGAGGAGGTGGCATGCGTTCACCCTCTCCTGGGCTTTATGCAGACTTGCCACCCTCCCTTCCTCCCTTTCCTACCTTCCCTCCTTCCCAGCCTCCCTGTTTCCTTCCCTCCCTCCCTCCTTCTGAATTTGCCACAACCCCACCAGCCGCCCCGGGCCCCCATCTCCTGTGTCTATACTGTGGGGCCCTGAGCATCAGTCACATGGCTCCTTTGAACACGCAGCACGTGTGGCCAATGGGGATGCCCTACCCCGGACGCTTCGCTTCCCGCTGTTTCTCAAACATGTCACTCTCCTGACCTCAGGCTGCTGCAGGGGCCCCAAAGTTCAGAAGAGGGATTCATACCACCCACTAGCCAGAGTGAGCAATTCGGGGCCCTATTCCCAAGAGGTTAGCAGCTGGCCTTGGGGAAGGCTGAGCAGAGGGACAGTCCTGGCTCCTTGAGGGTGCTCGGATGCTGTTTGGTAGGATGTCCAGCTGAGATGCACCCGGTGTCTCCTTCCCTCCACTCTGTCCCAGTGGGAAGGGACCTGAGAGGTCGCGGGGCCGAGGTCTGCATTTGGTAGAGGAGGGGGCAGAGCAGGGCTGCTGTCAGGTCGGCCCACTCCTGTCGGCCCCGTGGGGTCCGCCTCTCTCTGTCCCTGGCTGTGTGCTGTGGCCCTGGCTCCGGGTAGACAGGAC